TTCAAGTAGCTGCTCAAGACGGAGTACAGCTTCATTCCTCTTATCTTTCGTCCTTCATTCGCTGCATAAAAATCATCGATGTCATCCTCGATGTCAAGTGCATCCGTTGATGCTTCGGCTTTCTTCAAGTCTGCTAAGAACTCATAGTCCATGAATGCTAGAAAGTTCTTAAAGGCGAAACCCCAGTCACTCCATTGAGAGACTTCTTCTTCCAGTGTTGCCGGGTTGAACACTTCTGGTGGCTTCAAGATCTTTCCTCCGGTGTCGAACGGGACACCTGAGGGTTGCGCCCTTGGCGCTCCTTCACCTCCCAAACTTCTCGGGGAGTTTCTCGCAGCTTGGGCAGCACCTTGGCTGGCTGCCTCAGTGAGCCTTTGCATTGCTTCTGTCAGCTGCTGTTGCTGAGTCGCTGTTTGGCTCGCAACTCTTCCTAGAGCTTCTGTGGCCTGGCCAATGCCAGCCAGCATTGCTTCAAAGTTTCTTTGTTGTTCTGCCATTGCTCTGACGATCTAGGCAAGTCGTCCAGACTCAAGGCTCTTGCTCCTTTACCTTCTTCTTTCTACCGATCCAACAGGGCGTAGTTAATGAACCTTAACTCCTGTCTTCTTCAGCCTCAGCAAGGCGTAGTTAATGAACCTTAACTCTTGCTGTCCTTTTGACTTCTTTCCGAATTTCCTCCGGTGATAACGCCCACCGGAAAACGAACTTCTTCTTTCGCAGGGCGTAGTTGAGAAACCTTAACTCCTGCTTTCCTTTCCTTCTTTCCAGCTCGCTAGCTGGCTGCCAGCCCTTCGGCTGGGCTTATCTTCTTTCCCTGGATCTGCTTCTTCAGCTGCTGGCCTTCGCCAACAGCTCCGCTACCATAAAAGTTTAAAGGCTAATCTTAACCTTTCTAGAACACAGGTTCTCGGCACTCTTTTTCCTTCACTCGCGGCTTTCCACGAGAGGTGCGGTTTGAGCCTATACATGTCGGGCATGAAAAGTGAACTGTTTGTTAAAGTCACAACCTGTCAAATAACTTTCCAACATTGAACAGCGAAATCTCAACCTTATGATCTGTCTGTCTCTAGAAAGCATTGATCTTTTTCTGACGACACTTGTCGAGGCGATCAAAGAACAATGTTGCATATGTCTCATCACTTGAGTGCAGTCTCAAGACCCCAAAAAAACACGCGTCACGTGACCTCCACAGTGCGAGAAAGATCTTACGGGAACACTGCAAGACTGCTTGTCTTGGATGCCCACCAAAGACCAGTCTGGCAAGCCAAGTACACATATCGACGGCGTTTTTGTTTTCTTGTGTGAGTTGACTGCAGCATTTTTTGAACTTAAACAGGTTCCAAAAAACAGCTGTATTCCGGGCACCGAAATGGGCCCTGGATTGGATTTCTTTTCTGAAAACAAGGTCCGCGCATATCAGCCAATATCTTGGTTGCGCAGCAGTCCACCTGCGTTCCAGTGCACAACATGCAGATTGTGCGCCAGTGTGGCGTCCGAATGCAATGTGCAGTCGGTAAGGGTGGAACCAGGCAAAAAGGAACCGTAAAAGTTCTGATGTCGTGCTTCGTTTTGTGTTCTTCGTGCTGGGAAGTGTCTCACGTTGTCTCACGTTGTAGCCCTAATTCCCGAGTGGGATGCAAAGAGCCCAGGCCTTGGGTGAGGTGGGAAGCAAAGAGCCCGCGCGGGCGGTGCTGCAGCCTTGGTGTAGGAGGCAAAGAGACCGGGGAGGCCGCGCTGCAGCCCTTGTTTTTTTGGGTGAGGGGGAAGCAAAAAAGTCTTCCTCTGGTTCCAAGAAAGGATTTTTCTTGGCAGATGTTTCCAAGTGGAGCAGATGTTTCAGCAAATGTTTCAGAACCTTGTTTCCAGAACTTATTTCGGAACCTTATTTCCGGAACCCTACTTCCGGGGCCTTATTTCCGGAACCTTCTTACCGGAACCTTCCGAAACCTTATTTCCGGAACCCTTATTTCGGAACCTTATTTCGCCGGAAGTATGTTTAATGTGAGGAGTAATCTTTACCCCTTCAGTTGCAGCACTACACTGTCCGAAACTCTCATTTCTTCTTTTCTCTACCGTTGCCGGCTGAAGCCCTGGTTCACAAAAACCACTTTTGATTTGACGACGGAACTCACCGAAGGTGATGAAGTTTTATTTTCAAAAGCTGTGTTTTGAAATTACATTGGTAATTTCAACATGCGAGTTTTACTTTGATTTCTTCCCAACTTGCTTCATGCCTTCATGTCACAGTTGAACAGTGAAGATGCATGGCAATCTTTGGGCCCAGGGTGGGAGGTGGGTTTTCCCCCTTACTCGAATCCTCTCGAGGAATTTTGTTTGCCGTAGCCATTTTGGCTCAAGGGTGGGAGGTGGGTTTTCCCCCTTACTCGAATCCTCTCGAGGAATTTTGTTTGGAGCGGGGGGTTTTTGGTCTTGCCATGGATACAATGTTCTTTCCTTGATGGAGTACTGCTACCGATTGGCTCACTTTCTTTCCGAGGCTTGCAACAATAACTGAGCTGGAGCATGACGAATGTTCGCAGTGCAACTTTGGATGCTGTTTTGACACACTCAGGATCTGGGTCTTTTCAGCTGCCTTGGGAGATTGGAGTTTTCGCTGAAATTTTTGGAACTGAGCATGGAAGGATTCTGCCTATGGTTGAAAGGGTTGCGGATCCTGGAGCAACCATCGAAAAGGCAGAGGCCAGCACCTGTTCGCCTATGGTCGAATCTGTGTCCGGCGCTCACAATCATTCGCGGAAGCTTTTTCTTGGGCATGCTGTTTCTACAGAGCTGGGACGAGTGCATCCGACTCCGGAGGAGCAACTGTCGCTGATGGCGCAACGCTTTGAGTTGATTCTTGCTCATTCCTTTGAGGCCTCAGTTTTGGGAAGAAGAATTCAGGACCTCGACAGAGAAGAGAGGCTGGCCAAGATCGAGCTTGCTCTTGGTGGCAAGTCGCTCGGCACCCTGAAAAAGAGATATGGGCAGGCTGCTCGATTTGTGACCTGGGCGAATGGTGAAAACATGGTCGCTTTTCCAATAGCTGGGCAAGTGGCTGAGGAATACTTACAGCATTTGTCTACGTCGGCTGCGAGACACTCTGCTTTGACTGGGGCGATTGAGAGCATGAATTTTCTCCACCATGTTCTTGGAGTGGACATGGATCCAAGAGCATGTCTTGCACCTGTGGTTCAGGGCATCCTTCGTAAGGCACGAAAGAATCGGCCCCCGAAGAAGCAGGCCCGGGCACTCAAAGTTTGCGAGTTGCTGGATCTTGAGAATGCCCTAACATCCCACGACTACAGCGCAATTGACAGATTTTGCATTGGCTGTTTTCTCGCTGCTGTATACGGACGCGCAAGGTTGGGGGATCTTAGAGTGATCGAAGGAGTGCTTTTGGACTTCACTGAGAACCAGGCCGACTCTTGTGGTTACCTGGAAGTGGTGTCGCTTTCCCACAAGTGCAGCATGGCCAGCAACCGTCAGGGGTTACGGTTGCACCTTGTGATTCCTGCAAAAGGCATTGGGCCCCGATGCTGGGGTCGCGACTTTGTGCAGGTCGCAAAAGAGTGCGGTCGTGATCTGGACAAAATCTCGAGCGGAGAACCCTTGCTGTATATGCCGGATGTGCATGGTGGTTTTTCTGACGTCCCTGCTGAGACTGCTACCTTTACCGCATGGATTGCTGAGATCTTGGGAACGATGCCGAGTTTCTGTGGTGAGCGCATTACAGGCCACACTGCAAAGCACACGCTTCTTGAGTGGATGGGAAAGGCTGGCTTGGATCTGGACAATCAATCTTTGCTGGGACATCACGTATTGGTGGGCAGAAACTCTGCTTTGACGTATGCGAGGGACCAGCAATCTTCCCCTGTGAGAAAGTTGGAAGCTATGCTGTCAGATGTGAGACTGGGAGTGTTCTTGCCAGATGTGAGTCGTTCTGGAATGTTCGCAAAGAACCCGAAACCTCTTGGTATCATTTCCTTGGCGCCGCAGGATCAGCCCGGAGAGTCGGGGCAAGCTGAGCCGAGCCCAGTGGTCTCAGAAGTGGGCGAATCTACCGCTGATCGAGTTGGACTCGAAGCGGAGTGGGAGCTGCCTAATGCTTCTGAGAACATGTCTGAGGAGATGTGGTACAAGCAGCTCGCTGATGATGACGGTGGCGCATTTTCGGATGCCCCTGATGATGCCATTGGACTGGGTGTTTTTGACAAAGATCCTGCTGCTGAAGATTCATTTGAACCTGGCTCATCATCCTCGAGTGAATCGTCAAGTGATGAGTCTCTGGATGAGAAAGTGCAAGCTTGTGGAGCCTTGGCCAGCAGCTCCCGATCCGATGTTGGGGCAGAATGTTCTGTGTACCAGAATCGCATGACGAAGAAGCTGCACCTACTTCCGCGGGGCAGCTCCTCGAACAAGTTCGTGTGTGGGCGACTGCTAGATGACAAGCATCGAGAGTTTGTTGGAGGTGTGATGGTTGCTTCCATGAAGTGCATATCCTGTCACCGAGGCAAGCCGATCAATGATGTAGGTGCTCTGTGCCACGCTCTGGATGCAGCCTCAAAGAGGCGCAGAACCAGCGGGGCCTGATGGTCTTCCAATGCCTGCCCCGTGCAATGGATGGACCCCGGATTTGGCTGCTTTGTGCAATGCCTCTTGAATTATCTTCATATTCCGCGGCCTGCTTCGTGCATTGGCCCGAAGCTATCTGTTTCTGTGGTCTGCTTCGTGCACTGACCCGAGCCTTCAGTCCGACGCCTCGGCCTGCTTCGTGCACTGGCCCGAATCTTCTGCGCAGCGCAAATGGCTCCGTGCCCATCTTGCGAGTGACGGCAGTGCGGTGTCTTTTGTGGCAGCTGTCCTGTGCCGACTGCTTGTCTATGCAGTGATGATCGCAGCTTGCAGTTCAGAGACATTTTTCATGTCAGTTTGATTTTGTGCTACATGTTCATCTTCACGACAACTTTTGCTACGAGTAAAGGCATTTCTTGCTCACAAACATGGCATCCATTCTGAAGAGTGAGGCCGCCTTCAGGGCGAAAGCTGAGGAGTGCGGCTTGTCACAGGAGGTGATCGCTGAGTTTTTCGCAGCTGGAATAAAGACGATTTCTCTGATGGGGTTTGCAGTGACGGCTCCGGGCACTCAGCCGAGTGAGGACGAGCTCAGAAAGCTTGTGGATCGTTCCGACCCGGGTGCAGTTCCTGTAGGTGCGCTATCAGCGGTCAGACGATTGATGTTCGAGTGTCAGACGCTGTGCATTGCTCACGTGAAAGCTTCTGTCGATGGAGATGAGAGAAAGTGCGAGTTGGTGCCAGCAGAACGGACAGCCAGGATTGCTGCGCAGAAGAATAGGCTGCAAGGGCTCTCTCTGACAGGTCCCTTGGAGTGTTCCTTCGCAAGCTATGGTTATGTGGCCAGCATGGTGGAACAAGACACTCCTTTGTACCTGGAGCCTCATCGCTTTGACACCAGGGCTGCAGAGGTCTCGCGAGAGAAGCCAGGGAAAGAGATCGTGCTCGATGCAAACAAGATTGCAGTTAGGGACCAGTCTCAAAAGCACAAGTGCGCCATTCAGGATCCCCTCAGTCTGTCGCAGGCCCTGCAGAGACGTTCTTTGGCTTGTGATCTGATGTCGGTGTGCACTTACAGCAAGATGCAATCGTGGCACGGTTTCCTGATTGAACGGATGCAGCAACCTGCACCTCCCGGCTTCCGCCGGCCTGGGATTGAGCAGGTCTTGCGCGCTGACAGAGCGGCTTGGATTCGCATGGCGGAGTCTGTCCATAGCTTGAAACGTGATGCCTCAGGAGAACTCCCGCTGGACAAAGCTCTTGATGGATTGGTCTCTGATCCCATTGTTCTGTTCAACCTCCTTCCGTTGCCTTGTGAGCCTGCGCCAAAAGCCGATGAGAAGCGAGCTGATGAGCGACCCGACAAGGGTACTGGGCGAGGCCGTGGGGGGAAGGGGGAGAAAGGGGGCAGAGGAGAAAAGCGGAAGCTCGACAGCGACAAGAATGCAAGGCCTGACGGGGCTTTGCCGCGTGAACTGCAGGGCATCACTGGATTGAACATGACCACCGAGGCTGGCGAAAAGTTCTGTTGGCCGTATAATTGTAAGAAAGGATGCAAGTTTGCAAAGCCTGGCAAGGCTTGCCGCAGAGGGCTTCACTGCTGCATGAAGTGCGGGAAGCCGCACTCTGTTCAGGACTGCAAGGAGTGACTGTCAACGGGGAGGGGCCCGGGCCAGTCGAGCTCCTCCCCTGTGTTGGCCGCGAGCAAGCGGCCCCGGTTTCAGCAAACTGGGGAGGCTTTGGAAGCCTCTCGAGTTCGAGACCCTAATCCCGAACCCGCCGGTGCCCTGCATACCTTTGACCAGCAGGATGCCCCAACCTTAGATAATGCACGTCCTGTTGAAATCATGGACTCAGTTTTGCCTTTCGACGTGGAGCCTTCGACTTTTTCTGATGCTTGGCCGATGGCTGAAACCTTGGCTTCCAACATTCTTGCTTCTCGTGACGTTCCCACCCGGGATGACATTGCTTCACTTTTCGACCTGCTGCCCCACAAAGCCCCGCCGCGGGGAATGCCTGAGAAAGGAGCTGCTTTCACTTGTGGCGCGTTCGCTCAAGGCCCGCTGTTCGGGCTTCATGTTGGCAGCCGGAAATACCCCAAGGTTTGTAGACTCCTTGCTTCCTTTGTGCGCTCACTCGAACCGGGCTTCATCTTCACAACAATCAGCCTCTTCTTGAACGTGCGAACGCATGTGCATGTTGATTCACGCAACGATCATAGGCCAAACCTTGTTGCAGGCATCTCTGATTTCACTGGAGGTGAAATCGTTGTCGAGAGTCCAGGTGGTGCGGCCAGCTTCTCAGGTGGTGACTCCGTCGGCGGCGCTCGCAAGTTGCCAGTGTCGGGCACTCATGTTACCTTTGAAGCGTACAAGTTGAAGCATGAGACTGCGCCTTGGGTTGGAAACCGATTGGTCTTGGTGGCGTTCTCCGTGCCTGGTGTGACGCGTCTTTGCAAAGGAGATGTTGCCGTTCTGGAAGACCAAGGTTTTCAGCTGCCTGAGCATGATGAGACGTCGACCAACCGGCCTCCTACCTTGCTGGAACCGAAGTCAGACTTGTCTAAAACTACTTCCAAGCTTCAAGGTTGCACCCTTCGTGACATCAAATTTGTCGAACTTTTCTGTGGCACTGGTGGGGTTTGTGCAGCGATGAAAAAGCAAGGGTTTGGGCATTGCTTGGGGATTGCTCCGCGTGTGACTGGACACACACTTTGCCCTGTGCTGCCGCTTGACTTACGTGTTGCATCACAACAATCGCTTATGTGGGATGTGCTTTCCAGAAAAGGTGTTCTTGCCGTGCACATTTGTCCCCCGAGAAATTCTCCGCCTCTTTGTGCCCTCGCGGCTCAGGTTGTTGCTTGGTGTCACGAGCAAGGCATGCTGGTCAGTGTGGAAAACGCCGCGTCCAGCCCGGTGTGGTCTGGACCCGTGTTGAAGGCTTGCCAGAGCCTAGGTTTCCATAAAACCACTCTGCACCAGTGCATGTTCGGAAGTTCACATCGCAAGCATTCTGTTCTTTATCACAATTTTCCACAGGTCCGCCGACTATGCCTTTTATGTGACGACCAACACTCCCATGCGCCTTGGGATCACTGCCCTGACGGCCCTGTCTCGGCATACCCGAGTGGCTTGTGCAAAGGTTTAGCGCTGTCCTTCGCAGATTGCTTCGCTGCCTTTGGTTGTGTGCAACACGTGGTTCGGCTGTCTGCACGCTCAGCCGAACTAGACGACATTACCCTCAGCCGTGCAGCTCAGGTCGCCTCCGGCAAGCAGCCGAAGGGCAAACGGATCCCTCCACTGGTTCCGTCGAGACGAGGTGTTGTCACTTTGCGAGGTCCGGGTGTCAGCATGCCTCCCACTGGTGTGCTGGACTCGTACTTTACTTTGCCTGCCGACCTCCAATCCAACCCTGCCATGCCCGGCCTGCCAGCTGGCAGCAAGTGCCTTCGCTCAGTTCTTCTTGGGGGTGGGTCTGAGCTCGTTCGAGAGATGGTCTTTTCCGTTCCTAAGACACCTGAAGAATTTGTGTTGCAGGCGTGCCAAGCCCGCCACCCGCGTCACATGTTGTCCGGCATCCCACCAGAACTGCATTCGACTGTGCAGACTTGTGCGTCGCAAAGCTATGCGTCCGTCGCTCGTCGTCGCACAGAGGTGCTTCGAAAGTGGACCCTCCGGGCGCAAGAGTTGCAAGGATCCCCTGACCCAGACCCGCCTGTAGGGCATTGTGCTCAAATCCTTCAAGGCAAGGACCTTCGCCTCTTCGACGAGATGCTCAACGCTGCGGGTCACAAGGACGGCGACCTTGCCGCTCATGTACGCCGTGGTTTTGATTTGATGGGGCCCTTGCCCGTGTCCAATGTCATGCCACGCAAGAACACCTTCGCCACTCTCACCCCTGCCGAGGTCCGTGAGTCTTCCGCTGAAGTTGGCAAGGCCATCTGGAACTCCTGCAAGGCTACTCCCGTTGATGAAATTGCCCATGAGGTTCATCGCTTGACCCTTGAGGAGGCCCAAAAGGGATGGTTGCAAGGTCCACTGCAGGAGCCTCCCCCAGCTGGCTCCGTCCTGACCCGACGTTTCGGGGTCAAGCAGACCAGCACTAAGGCTGATGGCACGGTGGTCGATCGAGTCCGTCCCATCGACGACTATACAGAAAGTCAGGTGAACCTGACCAACTCTAGTGAAGAGAGCATCGACCCGCACAGCATCGACGTCATCGCTTCCGGCATTTGTGCCCGCATCCTCGCTCGTCCTGCTGCCTCGAGCCCTGAGGACTTGTTTGCTCGAACAATAGACCTTAGGAAGGCTTACAAACAACTTCCCATTTCTGCCGCTTCACTCCCTGATGCTTACCTCTGCGTATATGACCCCGTTCGCAAGGCTCCTGCAGTTTATCGCACTCTCGTGTTGCCCTTCGGGGCCAGAGCCGCGGTACAAGGCTTTTGCCGATGTTCCTATGCGATCTGGCTCATAGGAGTTGTGCTTTTTCTCATGCACTGGACCTGCTTCTTTGACGATTTCTTCCTTGTGTCGGGCCGCGACGAATCGGAGCACCTTCATTGGGTGCAGCACTCTCTGTTTACCCTCCTTGGTTGGGAAACCTCGTCAGACAAGGATGCAGGTTTCAGTTGCCTGGCTCGGGTTCTAGGCGTGGTAGTCTCCTTTAGTGACATAAAGGCTGGTCTTCTGTCGGTAAGCAACACCGAACATCGCAAGAAGGACGTTGCCGCACTGATCGACAAGATGGTCAACACAGGATTGGCCAGCGCGCATGAAGTGGCCGTGCTGCGTGGTCGTTTGATGTTCGCCGACAATCAAGTCTTTGGTCGGCGGTCTAAGCAGTGTTTCCTCACTCTCACTCGTGCCAGTGCTCGAAAGAAACAGGTTGCTGTGAAAGGCGATCTCCTTCATGCTTTGCTGTTTCTTCGTGACAGAGTCCTCCTGGGAGAGCCTCGACGCATAGAGGCGAAAGTAAGGAAGAAGCTGTGCATTTTCACAGATGCCTCTCACGAGGCCGAAGGAGGCGGACTCGGAGGCATCATGTACGATTCTGCTGGTCAGATCTTGGAGTGGTTCTCTGAGTGGTTGTCAGGCGAGGACCTTGTTCCGTTCGGAAGCCAAGACAAGGAAGGAATCATATACGAGTTGGAGCTTTTTGCCGCCATTCGTGGTGCTGAACACCTTCTCAGGAATACTCGGCACCACGATGTGGTTCTCTTCTGCGACAATGAAGCTGCTCTTGCGTGCCTAATCGGCGGGCGCGCCGATGGTGAAGTGGCTGCTGCACTTCTTTCCAAGCTCATAGAACTGGAAGAGTCCCATGACATATGCTTCTGGTTCGAATGGGTTGCCAGTCAGTGCAACCCCGCCGATGCTCCTTCCAGGAGAGACGTGCGCAACCTCCCAAGTGCAGCCAGAACTCGACTCCGCTCACTCAAGCCTTGATGCAGCTGTACCTGTTCGAGGGGTGTGGAGGTCCAGACTTGTTCAAAGGCTCTCGCCTGGACGGTCTGGGATTCTTCGTTACTCAGGCATGGACGCCTTCGCCCCTCAGTGAAAAATGGACAGCAAGAGCGTTGGTCGAGTTCATGTTGCGTTGCCCTAAGCATATGAACTTTACGGTACTGGCCCAGAATGGGCAGATTCTGTCAGCCCCGTTTTGTTAGTGAGCATTTTGCCCGGACCTTAGCCATCGCATACGTGATGTGAGTGTTGCATGCGGTCCACAAGGCAAATAAGAAATAAAATTTGAGATCCTATTTGAGATTTCATTCATATATACGAGCATGTAGCAGCTGTGGAAATAAGACGGAACTCACCGAAGGTGATGAAGTTTTATTTTCAAAAGCTGTGTTTTGAAATTACATTGGTAATTTCAACATGCGAGTTTTACTTTGATTTCTTCCCAACTTGCTTCATGCCTTCATGTCACAGTTGAACAGTGAAGATGCATGGCAATCTTTGGGCCCAGGGTGGGAGGTGGGTTTTCCCCCTTACTCGAATCCTCTCGAGGAATTTTGTTTGCCCGCCCGCCCATTCCCTTTTTAACTTGAAGTCGGGGTGTGGAGGTCCAGACTTGTTCAAAGGCTCTCGCCTGGACGGTCTGGGATTCTTCGTTACTCAGGCATGGACGCCTTCGCCCCTCAGTGAAAAATGGACAGCAAGAGCGTTGGTCGAGTTCATGTTGCGTTGCCCTAAGCATATGAACTTTACGGTACTGGCCCAGAATGGGCAGATTCTGTCAGCCCCGTTTTGTCAGTGAGCATTTTGCCCGGACCTTAGCCATCGCATACGTGATGTGAGTGTTGCATGCGGTCCACAAGGCAAATAAGAAATAAAATTTGAGATCCTATTTGAGATTTCATTCATATATACGAGCATGTAGCAGCTGTGGAAATAAAGATAGTTTCCAACGGTCTCAGTTTAGTGACACTGCTTCCCTTAAACAAGCATGTAAACAGATCAAGATATCTGCTGGGATAGATAGGAAGCATTTGAACCCACATCAAGGTTTCTTGAACCTTAACCATAACAGGTCTCTACGATGCTCATGCGGAATGTTCTGCAAATAGAAGTTATGATTTTGGCCCAGGATCTGCGGGTGCCAGTTAACCCCCCGCATATTTGCCACCTTTCCATTTCCCCCTCGCTAAGCTTAAAGAAGGCACGGCTTCTGGATTTGATGGATCAGTTCGTGAGATCGATAAGCACGCCCTATGTTTTGAAACGCATCATACTTGAGCACTACAATCAATGCCTTGGACAGGCAGAAGTTCCGGATCATTGAAGATGTCTGAGTCGTCATGTTGGTGAAGAACCATTACTGTGAATCTGATTTGGACGGTCGTATCAGGGAAAGACAGTATGGATTTAGGAAGTTTCGATCGACCAGCCCCCATACATGTCTTGCGGCTGGTAGAAATTTATTAGAGACACTTTTCATGCCTTTTTGTTCTCGATTGGTTTGGAGCTTTTGACTCAGTTACTTTCATCTCATTTATGGGAGTTCTTTGCGCGCATGATCAATGTGATCATGTCTCTGTATAGAGCACCCACGTTTGTGGTACGTGACTTAGGACTGATTTTTTCTCGCCTGCCAAACCAGAGGCTAAGGTTGCCCACTTTCGCCGTAACCTTTTCTCCTTTATTCTTGCGCGCCCCATTCACGACGTTGAATCGCGCTACACGCACCAATACGGCGAAATACCAGGTTGTTTTGATACGATGCTGCGAGCTCAAGTGGCTTCAGGCATTCCTGCAAGAGCGCATCGCAAGCCATGCCAAGATAGGAAGCTCTTTTGTTGCTGGGCTTGGTTCTTTCTCCACCCATTCGTATGGTTGGCATGTAATTGATTGAGTACCCGCATTGATGTCTTCGGTCAATGGCCACGACAACAATCCCGAACTCGACGAGCTTGCAGCGGTATGTGCTATGCGAGCACCTTTGTGTTGCTGCGAGTGGCTGCTGTGGGAACAGGAGTTGGGTTTGTTATCTGGGCAACTTCCCATGTACCAATGTGAGCTCATGGCTGCCATGGCCTCCGTGTTCCACCTCCAGCTATTGCCCGAATGTCCCCTTTCCCTTAAAATGCTTGGGGGATGCGGCGTTGGAGCTGCCTGGGCCGGTCCTGGGATGCATCCGAAGCTTTCACCAGCCTTGGACTTAAAAGACCCCAGGGTCGGAGATGAAGGAGATGAAGGAGGGCCGAACTGTTTAAAGCATCTAGACATGCTTCGGGAGAATTGCTGCAGAATGGAAGCATCCATGCGCCATGAAGTTGACGCATCCAAAAAGCTTAGATGCTTGGCTGACAAAGGCGTCCATTCGCGCAAGTGGCGAGACCGAAGCAACGAATCTTTAATGGCCATGACGAGTCAAATGAAAATGATAAGCCAGCCCACAGAAGCCCAAACTAGGTGCTTTCTGTCAACACGCAAGCTGCAACTCAGGGTGGCAGCACCGACACGTTTCAGACCAGCTAAGGGACAGTGATTCAGTTAAAAACACTCAATGTTTTGGTGGTTTATGGAGCGGAGCGTGCCACCCTTTTTATCCTGCGCAATAGGATCCATAGTACGATAGAGCAAGGTATTATCCACGTAAACGAATGATGTGCTTGAAGAATCTCAGCTTGGGTGTAAAACAATTAAGACAATGTAAAATCTGTCAAACGGCTTGCTTGAGTTGCATGAGTTCTGGTCCGGCCTTGGCCTCCGTGAGGACTCAGCCCAGTGAGCTCTCGAGGTCTTCGACAAGCAAGATGATCTTCAAAAACAAATGCACACAAAGTCCACACAAAAGCCAGATTGTTTCCACTTGATCGTTTTCAGTCAGCATATTTGAGCACAGACAGCATGTTGACATTCAATTCGATGCATACTTTGTAAGGGTGTGTGGACATGCTGTTTCCACGAAAACTTATAACTGTTAAAGCTTATGGTCCTGGTTGTCTTGGCAGTAGTGGAATGTTTCGTCAGCATGCCGCGCCCGTCGTTGAAGCCACCCAGCGTGGCTCCTTCTGATGCCGGTTTGCTGCCGCAGGACGATTTGTGCAGAGACGGTTTCCCATGAGCATGTGGATTAATTGTTGTTGAACATGCCCAAACCATGAAACGTGCGTGTAAGCTTCACCTCATGCCACCTTGCAGGAAGATGTTGCCAAAGGACCGCGCTCCCTTTCGCCACCGAGGCTCGTTGCTTCACCATGGTACTGAAATTGGTAAGGCGTGATGCAGCTGCTTGGTGTTTTTTGCGGGGCATGCTTGTGATAAGACTTCTGAATATCTCTGTTCGAAAAGCCTTTCAACAGTAGTTTTAGCATGAAAACGTGTTGGCCCTAGCCATGAGAGTTTCGATGAACCACCTGGCAGGTTCTTCCGAGCCGTTGAGTCGAATCTGCAATGCAAGGCAGTGACATGCTGGGACCATAAGATTGTCAGAATCGAGTTCCTGCCAAAATGTAGGCAGAAAGCCCGCGTGGAATTGCACCTCGAGAATTCTTCCAAGGTGCGGGAGCAGATAGGTCGTTTTCTTGGGTGCATCGCCGGGAAAAGCCTCTGTTGTTGCGGATTGTGTTACTGCTGCTGAAGTAGACAGTCAATTTGGATAGGCCAACTCCTACATCTCAGTCATTTTGTCTCTCGCTTGTGCCAGATGGTATGACAGCTACAGCGCGCTTGCGATTAGATGAGGCAACGAGATTGTTCCCGGAGGCGTGCATATGTCAATTCGAGCTTCTGTTAAGAAGCACTGATGCACTAGGCTAGTGCTAGGCTTCTCGTCTGGTGTTCCATGATTTGTTGAACTCACAGAATGCATTGGCGCCGTGCACAGGCTCATCGACCACCGCACGCAAAAAAGGAGCACGTGGCCTGGTGATGCCTCGTGTTTTCAGGCTGCGGCCTGCACAGAAATTGTGCAGCATGCAGGATGCAAGTCCGGGCGTTGCCATGCCTCGCAGGCCGCGTTTCAAGTAAGAGTACAAATGCTAATTGTGAGCAGCTAACACTCTCGTGTTTTGGCACATTGGCACACTTGGTCCTGGTGGAGGAATGGTACATTCGATCAGCAAAGGCGCGCTGCACAAAGATCGCCCGCGGGACTGGGCGCCCGCAATCGGGGCATTCTACTGGAAGGCTGGTCAGCCGAGGATGCCTAGCCTGAAGCCGAAAGCAAAGCAGAAACGCAGGTCCTACGCATCGGGCAATGTTTGCATCTTGTCAGCTATTTAGTTTAGGCACACAAGAAGCGGGTGTGAGTGCTACGAGTCTTGGTCCACCCAGTATGACGTGCAGGGTTCAGTGTGCCATTCACTGCCAACAACTTCGAAGAATGGACCGACTTGGTGCTCGATTTTGATAGCTGTATTTGCTTCAGAAAATTTGAAGCTGTAAACGCAACTGCAGAGCAGGAATGCAGACCTTTCACACGCTTCAAGCGCCTGTCCACGCCCATCAGGCCTGGAAGTTCATGCTGATTCATGCGTGTGTGAGATTGTAAGCCCGTTTCTTTCGCTGTGGATGTCAAGTCGTAAGTTGGACTGGGTGTTCGCTGTCTACGTGTCTTGGTGCATACTTCACCAAGCAGGCATGATGGCCTGGAAACTTAGTTGCTAGCAGCTGCTAAAGCTTTGCCAGCACCTGCTTTGTGCCGGTACTTGATTGCCGTTCATGGCTCGGGCTCGGGGTGGAAAATTGCTCTCAGCTCTGCAGCTTGGACGCTGACAAGAATGATCCCAAGTGCTATGCTGTTCAAGTTGGGCGGCTTTTAGGTGCTCGTGCTCAGTCAGTTGCCTGAGGTGATGTCGAGGCCTTTGCCTATCTTCGAGGGATGCGCCAGCCAACGAAGTTGGGGCGATGCTGAGAAGGATCGGCTTCATGAACCTTGAGATTGCAGTCTGCACATGTGGTAGATTGAATCAGCTGCAAATGCATTGTTTCGATTTTTGGTTTCAGATCTCCACGGTTGCAGGTTGGCTTTTCATATCTTTTTGCCGCTTGGATCCAAACTTATCAGGCATGCAAATGCGGAAGTGCTACGGGTACTCTAGGCTTGTGGTGATCGTGTTCTCGACATACCTGCTGCAGGTCCGGCTTAACTCGAGCTGTTTCCGTGCAGCCATCTGCGGCTGAGACAGGGCATCTCTCTCATGTTTTTGCTTTTGGGGCAGCTGCCACGTCAAAGAGCTCCAAATCCATGGCCTGGCACAAGGGCACATGCTGCATCAAAGACGGCGTCGCACAGCACGTCAGCACTTCGTAGTTCTGCAGAGCAGGCACGCTTATGCTGGCCCCCCTCCGTTTCCGGTGAACAGTGCAGTGCAGTGCGGTGCAGTGCAGTGCAGTGCAGTCTGTATGAATGCTTTCCCCAACAGCCCTTGCTGAGACTTTCAGGCCGCTCACCAATACTACATGGCAACTGGGAGGCGCTGCAGTGGCTGTTGAACCCATGTCTGAGTCATGATAGCTGATAGTTGATGACTACCTCCAGCCTGTGTCAACATCAAGGGCTCTTTTCAGGTTTCCTCCGTGGTTTCTGCCGCAGGATGGTGTGGAGGACCTTCGCCTTCCTATTTGTTGTTGCAGCGACACACGATGTGCACTTGCGAATCAGTCATGCTCTCTCTCTCTCTCTCAGTCTCTCTCGTGTTGCTTATGCCCAGTTTGTGCGAAACGTATGTCTGTGTTGCAGATGTTGGCAGCAGGAAGACGGGCACATGCATGTAGTGTACGCGCTGGATATCAGCCGTAACGTGCTGAAGGCAGCACTTGCCAGCATGGTTAGTCTCAGTGTGCTCCTTACGCCGACTATCTGCAAACTCGTCGGGGAATAAGTAGTCGACAGACTTCCAGGTCGTCATTTTTCGGAGCCGAGTTCTCTCACAATTCACGTGATTGGGCTCGCAACTCAGCAAAAATGCAGTGCGTTGCCGCGCCTTATGGTGATTTGAGACTTCGCTGCAGGGATACCGTTGATGTTCTCGAGCAGGTCCCTGACCTACACTCTGTCTCACCAGAGCTTTTTCCAAAAAATTGGAACGATTGTCAGAAGAACATTTAGAGAATTGTGTTTTCCAGGAGCTGGTGACGTGCTTCTTCAAAGTCATGGGCAATCAGGCAGTCCAAGGGACAAGAAATCTTGAGTCAATATTGAGGGTCGATGGGCAGGGGAGTTGCCGAGTGTGAAATAGCCCATTCGAACCCCTGACGAAGCTGCTCCTGTCATTCGATTTGACAGGCAACACCTCATGTGCAGCTGCACGAGATTCATACTGTGCCGGATGTGATGCTGAAGCAATCGGCCTCAGCACTGGGTCGTGAGGTAGGCTTGTTCCTCCCTCTATCTGCATGACATGGGGCCGGAGACCAGGTATGCACGTAGAACGCTGCGACCACAAGACGATGCCAACACGGATGCTTTCATGAGGCACAGATGAAGTCTGAGCAATCCCAGGTTAACAGTCATGCTCACTTGTCTTGTTGCTAGGAGTGCCAGCTTGCAGATGACCCGTTTCTACTTGCACCAGTGCCCTCGGCACATGCTCTCGGCACATGGCTTCTTAATATCGGGGCCAGCGCAAACAAGTGTGGGGAGATCTGAGGAGTGGTGGCGTGCTTTTTAGTAGAGGTATTTGCCACCCTCAGCCTCTCGAGCACTGTGGCTCGATGCTGATACTCTCGCCCGACGCCTTGGCAAAAACATCTAGAGAGCAAAATGGCAAAGCCCGAGCTTTTGTGCATTTTGCTGAGGTGATGACCGACATCATGCCCCTTTACCAGTTCAACATGGTACATGCTGTTGCTGCAGTGCCCGATGGGGCAGGCACCGTTCTCGAGTCGTCAACAATGGTGCAAGTGTCGCCCAGTCCCCCCCCTTTCCCCCCCCATGGTGTGGTACCCTCCGAGCCCCCCGTGGTTGGGGTGGGTGGGGTTTAGTGTTTATCTCAATCTGGCTCGGCGAGGGATCACTGACGCCAGATGCCATGCTGTGATTTCCCCCAGCGCGGGCACTTGACCGGCGAAAGGCGTGGAGGAGGTCGTGGCCGAACACATATGGCATGCGGCATCCCACCTCCTTCCACCAATCCCCTGCCCAAGTCGACAACGTCTCCAACAAAGTGTCGCGTTGGCAGGCGAGCACGTGGGCGCGGTGTTGTGCCGCAGCTCCTCCAACCCTCCCGCCACTGTGTAGTGGCCAGCGGCCAGCGTGCCTGCACCCGCATCAGCTCCTCGATGAGCTCTACCTCCAGCACCTTAGCATCCGTCAGAGTGGCGGGCTATTTCCGCAGCCAGGCTAACAGGGGCTGCCGGGCGATAAGGAATGCGGCTAGCTGGAATGCTAGAAGCGTCGGGCGAGCTTGGGAAAGAATGTACACAACTACAGAGACATTCGAGCAGCAAAACAATCCCCCCGCACTGTAGCCCCTAAACCCTAATCCCGCCCTCGAGCAGCAAAACAATCCCCCCGCACTGTAGCCCCTAAACCCTAATCCCTAAACCCCTAAACTCCTAAACCCCTAAACCCCTAAACCCCGGCAAGTATGGTTTGTTTGGAAAGAGAAGGACCCCAAGGCATGGAATATTCAGCATGGTCGTTCACATAGAGATATCTCCGAGGCAAAGTCTGATTTTGATGCATGGTGCATTTACCACGACGATTTGGCTGATTTCTTTGCAAAAAAGGCCAGCCGTGAGCGACCCGTGCAGCAGAAGCAGATTTATTGTCATGCTGCCCGAGAAGGGGCTCGCCTTGAAAAGACGTCCAAACACATCTTCTTTACCTTGCAGAGTCGTGTGTTGCAACAAGCAGGTTCTGGCCAGAAGCGGCCAGCCACCCCTGAAGCAAAAGCACATGAACAGCAGCGGGTCTTCAAGAATGAGGTCACGATTGAAACCCCGCTTGTTCAGGAGATGCAGTTTGCAAATTCATTGCTGTGTCCGCGTTTCCGTTGGGTGTTAGCGCAGTGGACGCAAGGCAAGTGGCTTTCAAGCGAAGCCGGGATTAGTTTGGCAGAAATTTATGTCACATGTATTGAACAAACTGGATGGGTTGTGCCTGTGAATGTTGGTTCTTGGAGGCAGGAGCAACTTCCTGAATGCTGGAGATCAAAAGTTCCTTCAGCGTGGCTGCATGAAACAAGCTATGCGAATCTCCTTCTGTGCAGAACGACTTTTGCTAAGCAGCTGACGATATTCCTTCATTCTTTCAAGTAGTTACTGCGACTTCTCAATATTCCATGCGCATGTTGCCGAGGCCCAGCTTTGACTTCACTAGGACATGGGGCCGCAGTCTCCATGGTGACCATGGCGCCCTATGCTGCGTGCCACGAAGGATCCGAATCTTGAAACAACACATGCGAGGCCTTTTATTCTCGGCCTTCGGTAAAGTCCGCCTTGACCCAGTGACAAACCCTTGTGAATCACTGGTGGCGCAAGAGCCGCCGCAAGTTATTTGGAATAGGTATTATCAGGCCAACAAACGCCGACAGCGGCAGGCCTAGATGTGATCTTTTCGAGTGCTCTCTGCTAATTGCACATATATGCTTCGCCCGAACTTTCGTCCGAAGTGTCTGATGATTGCATGCATAAACCCCTAAACCCCTAAACCCCTAGACCCTTAAACCCCTAAACCCCTAAGCCCTCGCCTAATTTCTTCGCACTGGTCGCTTTTGGCACCAAGCCCTTTCATTATCGGCAGGCTCAGTCCTGGGCCCCTGGGGCTCTATTCAAAGCTATGGCAAGGGCGAGCTTGTCAATGCAGTGCTAGCCAGTTTCGTGTTGCCTTCTGCTGACGCTCGGTGGCGGCAAGGCACGCCTCGTTGCCCGACTTCCAGAGGGGTCTCTTGAAGCGAACATCTCCCCTTCCGACACCGTTTTACCCAAGACGAGTTGTCAGGAGCCAAATCGGACGGCTTGTCGTAGGATCAAATCCCGGACGCCTCGGCGCAGCCCGGCGACGACTTCATGGCGACTTGCGACTTCCAAGTCTTGTCTCGCCGTGAGAGTTGGTACGTCTGGTACGTAGTACGTGTAAAAAAGCCCGTTCCAAAACAACCATATGGTAAGTTCGTGCGTCGTATATGCATATGGAAGTCAGGTCTTGCACTTGCAGAAAGTTTCAAAAAAGCGTTCCTGACATGTGCTTGTAGTCGCTTTATGTCGCATCGCTCGGTTTTTTACGCATCAATCGGCGTCCACATTGGGGAACTGCATTCCCCAGAGTATATCCCCTGATGTGGCGAAGTCGGCCTCGTCGTCAATTGCGCAGCATCTACATGCTTTTTTGCATGTTGGCAGTGCCTTAAGAAACCCTAGCCCCTCAGCCCAAAACCCGACACATCGATCGGCGTTCACTTTGGGGAACGGCACTCCCCAGATTATATCTCTTGATGTGTCGAAATCGGGCTCGTGCAGGCTTCTACATGTCTTCGGGAGTTGCAAGTTAAGTAGCGGATGATTGTTGGGGGTTGGTCTCGGTCACCCTGATCGCCGCCGCGACAACTCGACCAACCCCCCGGCGGTTTAATCGACTTAGGGGTTCCTCACTTAGTTGGATTTTCTAGCGTCTCCCTGGTGATTAATTAGCTGTTGAAACATAGTTCAAATGCTAGAAAACGTGCTGAAAACGTTGGCGTCCGCGGCAAATCCGGCAGTTTGACCCATGTTGGTTGTTTGCTTAAGTTCCAGCGTCTACTTGGGGGTTGTTGTGTCCTGATGTTTAATTCCGCCGCTGATGTGTATTCCTGCTATGTAGCGTCCACAGTGGGCTGATGTGTGTTTCTCGCGACCTGATGTGAGATATGCCCGCCGCAAGTAGTTTGCACTTGTGCTAACAGGTCGGTACTTGGCAGGGGGGTGGGGGCAACAGTCATTGTCGCTGATGTGCAGGCCTTGATGATGAAACCCTTTTTCTACAACAAGTATCCACCAACTTCTCAGAGGCTTCGTGTTGGCTTTTTGCTCTCTGGATGCTGTTCTTTGAACACCTTCCTCTGCAGGCCCAAAGCTTCATTCCAGCACCGGGGGCTCATCACTTCAAAACATCTGTGCTGCTCGGCCGAATTTTGGAGGTTTGTCTCATTGTGCGCGGCCCGGACTGGTTTTTGCTTACGTTGAGGATGTTGGTGGACATCCATCGGTGGAGGACTTTCAGCTTAAGCAATGGGCAAGCTTCAGAATTCCGTGGGTAAGTGAAGCGCGCACTGCAGGCAGAGGCAGCTGCATTTGGATCTCGAGGCTGTTGTGCAGGGCCCCACCTGCTGCCGCTTGCACATGCCGCTTGCACATGCCATCGTCATGTTTACGGTTTACTGACAGGAACTTGCGGGCCTTGTTCACGAACACAGCACCGTGGTAATGTTCTCAGATTGCGTTGTGTTGCGGCCAAAGAATGCAGCAGAGTTCTGACCGTAGCGGCGTTGCAAGGACCAGATGCTGCTGAACTTAGGGTTGCACTCTCAGTTCGATGAGCTGAACGGCCGTTGGATGCTGGGCTGCCGTCAAAGAAAGCAGCAGTTCAGAGAGAAGCATGTGTGGATTCTGTTTCCAAGCTTCGCGGCTCGAATAAGTACCGGCTACCTCATTCCTTGAATCCTTGTTCCTCATGCCTGACTTGGTCAGCAATACTTGTGGTCTGTGAAGGGTTTCACTTTGGCTGCACTGGACTCTGAAGTCGGATTTCTGCAAGGAATGTTGATTGTGCCTCCGAGACGGATATCATAAAATCTGCATCGCCCTAAACTCAGCATATCTCAGCTTGCAGACCAGCATGAAATGGGCGGGTCGAAGAATTGGTGGCTTATTCTCACAATACATGCTTGCAAGAGTTCGTGAAAGAATCAGCTGGCAAGGATTCTGCATTGTCAATGGATGGGAAACGGCCGAAAGAAGATCTCAAGAGGCCACAGCTGCTCAGTTTGGGAATGGGTTGTTTGCTGAGCGAGTGAAGGCCTGTGGAATCTGCATGATGAACATGGTGGATGTATACGCATCTTGGAGTGCACATACTCCTTCACCCTGTTCACTCTCGCCCAGGGCCCCCATGGTGAATTGTGTCATTGAGTCACATGCGCTGCGCTTTTCCGATGCTTGTGGAGGAACTCCGATGTCTGCAGCGTCAGCTTCTTTGCCGCAAGTAGATATACGAGTATTCATGTATAGTTAAGTATATTTATGTTTCAAGTATATGTAAATAAGTTTAGGTATGTTAGAGTATATTTAAATATGTGTAAGTGTATTTAGTAAATACTTAAGCATGTTTTACTACATTAAGAATACTTTTGTTTATGTACGTCTTTTCAAGTATGCTTAAGTACATGTCAGCACATCCAGTAATATCTAAGTATATTTAGATACATTTGTGTGGCGATTCGAGTTGTCTCTTGCGAAGCTACGAGAACGTCGAGGTATGCTATGTATTCACTGGTGATAGAGTAGCTTCGGGGAAAACATCCCAAATCACGCGGGGAGACTTCGTCGTGTCTTGGAAGACCAACGTCGGACATCACATGGAGAGGTAACGTAGGAAAACCACGCAGTGGGGCATCAAGAACCTGCCAAGTTGCGACCGCAGCATGCTGGCAGCATGGCACTCGGACGGACAGAAACGCGGGTGCGGAAGTCCGATGTTCGGTGCAATTGCACGTGGCTCAGAAGAGTGCATCGGCGAGGGAGACGCTTGCGACCATGAGTGCATCTGCTACAACTCGTTGCTCACAAGGCATGCGTCACACAATCCACGCGACAACGAAACTCAAATACCAAAACCCTAAGCCCTAACTCTACATGAGCAAGCGCATGCAACGCCAAAACCCCCAGCCATTCAAATAAGTAAGGGGTGGACACGAATGCCCAAAACCCTGTAAAACGATGGGAACACTTGAAAAGCGCCACCCCTAAGTTAATGAACCGTTGGGTGTGCTATAGCCTTGATTTTTCCCAAAGGGACACCTACAAACATCAAGCGTGGATAATTGATGCTAAAACCTTGTAAAACGACTGGAACACTTGAAAAGCGACACCCCTCATATTGCGTCCATTAGCACCTCGAGCCGGTTTTGGCAGTCGCCCATGCCAGTACTCAAATCTTTAGCATCAAGCTTGCTGCAACTGAACAGTCGCTGTTGAACGTAGCCTTCAGAGGGAAGTGCAGGTGCGAAGTCCGACATCCAGCCCTAAACCGTATAAGGAACAACCCTAAACCCTGAACTTTTACGTCGTAGATTCGTTGTCTTACTTAGAACATATCACAATGTTGTACATCACCTGGGCGCGCCTCGTTTTCCTGTCTTCGAACGAACGAAGGGATCACAGAACACGTGGATCGGTTACACGGGGGGGCATGTATGGGAAAAACATTCACTTAACCGTCAATCCTGCAACACTACGTTCTAGACTCCCACAGTGTCTTTCGAAATGCACTCACGTGTAGGACTATCTGGTTCCGATCTTTATCATAATCTTTCACATCCTTATAAGGAGATCGGTGCCGCCGGTGCCATCATCCGATCTGAGAGATGAGAGATGATGCTCCAAGCCAAGATTGCATTGTCCATGTTCGAGCAACGCATGGCCAGTCCGCTCTGTACCGCATCAAGAACAAGTCCCTTTTATTCCCAGCCTGTGCAGCTTTCTGGAAAGTGGCCGAATCAGCGTCTCGGGTAAAACTGTGTGGTCGGCTGGTAGCCGAGGGCAAGATGCAGTTTAGCGCAGGCCGGATATGTCCGTTGACATATGGCTCCAGTACATATCATGAAAACTGAACCGGCAGGAGGTGCAGTATGGTGCAGTCTAAGATGGGTTCTCAGGTATCAGATGTGGGCCGATCCAAGTAGTAGTCAAAAAAATTCAGAAGCTTTCTGGTTGTGTGATGTCAAAGAGCCATGGCAGACGCAGATCCTGAAGAGAACAAGGATGTTTCAGAGGCACCTCCGGAGGTCCCTTGCCCCCTTGTCCGGGTGTCCTTATCTGCGATGGGCGTATCCCCTCTGATAGTGAGCATTCTAGGATATTCAGAAAAGGAGTCATGCATCAAGCTGGCCTTGTATGGCTTCTTGGACTTCACAGTGCTGGCCTCAATTTTGCCTTCGGAGTCAGCTCTGAGGAGAGCTTGGGTCATGTGGGTGCGAGGCTGTGATTGCACGATTCTTCTTGGCCATTGGGCCGGGACCTCGCTCGGTGTAGACGGCGATGCATGTGACTCCCGTGTGATGTATCATGCTGACATACCAGGTCCGCTCTTCTTTGGATGGTCCGGTACTGTGTGTATCCGTTGAAGGAGGCACTGGGCAGGCTGGAGCACACTTGTCGACACGTGTCCAGAGACTGCAGACGGTCCATGACGCATCATCTGTGTAGGTGCACAGATCGAGTTACAGCTTGGCCGCCCGTGTCAAGACAGTTCCCGCTTTTCTTGTGAAGGTTGGTTTTTTGGACGATTAAGCCTGTAGCTTTTTTGATTCAATCCTGTGGCTTTCAGTACGGCCTAGCCCCCTACTGAAAGGCTGTTTGGGTAGAAGGTATTGGCAGTGAGGGCATGAGGGTGCAAAGCAGACGCGTGCTATTTCGAAGATGGTCCCATTCAGTAGCCGTCTATGATGGATGTCAATAGACACCTATATTGACCCTATGGGTTTTCCGATAAGTACCTATGCCGCCAACCTATTCTCAGCACACTAGACCCCTATGTATAGGCCCTTTCCCCTTTCCTATAGACCCCTATGCATAGACACTATCCGTTCAGCCATAGACCCCTATGCAAAAGGACCCTACCCCCAACCTATACCACCCCCCTATGTCGCATAGGCCCCTATGCCTTCTCGATGGGCCTCTACTGCCCTCAGAATAGAGCCTATACCCCTATGCCATGTCAATCCTGCTTCTTCTGTAGCTACAAGCCTTGGTCACTGCATCCCTAAACACCTCATCGGAGCAATCTACGTTCTTGATAACCTCCATGCGTGTCGTGTTTAGGGTTTAGGGTTTAGGGTTTTTTAGGGCTTAAGGTTTAGGGCTTTTGTAGGGGCGCGGACGGTCCAGGGTTTTTCGGGCCTAGAGTTCAGGGGTTTTTAGGGTTTGAGGCTCAGGGATTTGGGGTTTAGGAGTTTTTGGGTTTAGGCTTAGGGTTTTTTAGGGTTTAGGGTTTAAGGGGTTTTCAGGGTTTAGTTTTTTTTTTTCGGGGGGGGGGGGGGGGGGGGGGGGGGGGGGGGGGGGGGGGGGGGGTGTTTTTGTTTTTTTATTTGTATTAAGGGGTTTGGGGTTCAGGGTTTTTTAGGGTTTGGGGCTTTTCGGGTTTAAGGTTTAAGGTTTCTTTTGGGTTTTAGGGTTTAGGGATTTTTAGGGTTTAGGTTTTTTTTTGGGTTTAGGGTTTAAGGCTTTTCAGGGTGTAGGCCTTGGGGCGTTTTAGGGTTGAGAGCTTAGGGAGGTTTTAGGGTAGGGTTTTTTCGATTTAGGGCTCAGGTTTGTTTTGCGTTGAGGGCATGATGCTTTAGGGTGCTTTTAGGGTTTAGGGTTTAGGGTTTAGGGTTTATGTGGGGTTTTTGGGGGGTTTAGAGTTTAGGGTTTTTTAGGGTTTAGGTTCTTTTTGCTTTAGGCCTCAGGTTTTTTTTGGCTTTAGGGGTTTTAGGGTTTAGGGTTTAGGGTTTAGGGGCGTTTTGGTTTTAGGGTTTAGGGTTTCTGAGGGTTAGGGGTTTTTAGGGTTTAGGGTTTTTTGGGGTTTGGGGTTTAGGGAGTTTTAGCCCCCTCTCCCATTTGTAAAGACAACACTCGCATGATGGGTTCGAAAAAGAATGAAGCGGCGGGGGGTGGGCGACTAGTTCCTACTACAAGCAGAACCCCTATACCACAACCAGACGGTCTCTACTGCAACTAGGCCTGGATTTTGTGAAAACCGAAAACCCCCCCTGTCACAACCAGCAATTACGGCTATGAATTGAAAGGTTTCAAAAACTGATTGGGAACCCTCAGGTAAGCAGTTTCATTCCCAGGAAACTTCAGTTGTAGTACGGACCGTCCTGCGTCATGGATACTGTTGGTGTAATTTTACGTAAGCAAAAGTTTGGCCATAGTGCTCAACAAATTGCCGGGTCATGTTATCAACACGCACACACATGAGGCATGCTGTCAGCTTTGATTTTATGTTTGGTTCATCCTGGGGGGCTTCCCGCCAACAACATTTCCACGTTTGTTTCCGGTCTTTCTAAAACCTATCTGCAGCCCACATGGTTTCGTCTTGGAAACCGAGCCCGCGCAGGTCATTCTACGAACAAACGAAAAATGCAGTACTATGATGATAATTGTTCTGGTTCTTGTTTAGCTACTGATATTTCTGCAGAAACGTTTAGTGAGTTCTTCAGATTCCGCGAAAGAACAAGGGTTTCTCTGCCTTGAGCCTTTAGGCACAGAATCACAACAATGTCAAGCTTCCTAGACCTAATGAGGGAAGTGGGCGCCAAAACGTTTACCAACTTTATCCTTACCAGGCCCGAAACCAACATGTCGCCCACCATCCGCTCATGGAAACGTCGCTTCCCATAACCTGTCTTGCAAATCAATCCTGCCGGCTCATGGGAACGGTGATTCCAGCACTGAAC